ACTTTCGCCTTGGCCTTACATACGAGGATCACCAGCCAAGGCTCACGCCCTGACTGTCAACAATAATAAAGGAGACTACCCGAAGGTACGTTCTATAGCTACGGGGATAATCGTTCGACGGCCAATATAGCTCACGTCGAAGGCTACATGGTTCACATGCATATATTGATCATACTACAACAAAAACAATTAATTAAGGCATAGTAATTTTTACAATTACAACCCACCTGGTATCCGAAAAGGTAGAACACAACTAGTAATAGAATGTAGGTAGAGGCTCGACTTCTCAAACACCTACATTTAACAAAATAGCCCTATAAAAGACTATCCAAAACACAAACATTTATAACTAATCACATGCGATAAACTTAGCCACATAGTTCAACAACGCCACACAACATAGTTGCAGTCCAGAAATGATAATGAAGTCTCAGTATTTCTAAGATGAGAGGAGCTACAAGCATATTATTCAGGTGATTCAAAAACCAATGAGTAGTTAACATATATGTACAAAATTTTCACGTTGATCACTTCAGTCAATAATAATTTTAAACCCGAGTTTAAGGATAAAATACTTAGGTCCAATAATCTGTCAGAATAATTATTTATCAATTTACAGCACTACACTAAAATGATAATATCTCAAGTTATATGACTCCAATTCATACAAACTTAAGACCTACAGAAACTACACAAGAAACACTACAAGTTTCAAGAAGAGCATATTAACAAATAATCACATTAAGGACCTCATTTCAGAGCATACATTTCAATTATATACACAACTACTGTTTTTAAAAATTCTGGGCACAACACTAACTTTGAAAAATCATATAAAATCAACAAAAACTCTAATTTGCATGATTTCAACTCCTAATAAAAGCTTAAAACATGTACTATAAGTTTTATGATAAATACTTTTTCATATTGCCACATTAAGATCGTCAAAATCAGCTCAACATTACAATCCACAAGTCTGTCCGGAATTTATAAAAACTGCTTGCAGGTACAACTTAAAAATTCATAATAAATTCAAATCAACTCCGAATTTCAAAATTCAAAAACTCACAGCAACCTAACTCAAAGTACTACAATTCTCATGAAGAACACTTTTTCAAATAACGAGTTCTAGAAGGCTAAAACAGAGGAAAAACAGAGACTATAAAATCGAGATTAATTCATATAATGTTCAATTTGCATGCTAAACCTTTAAAAAATCTATAACTCGAGTTATACTAGTCTAAACGACTTGATTCTTGATTTCATGAACTCTTTTTTTATACAAGAAATATCCATTAAGAGCTTAATATAGCAGGTTACTCATAGATTGGTTAAATTCTCTGTGAAACATCACATAATAAACTTGGATGCGAAATGGAAATACTTTTAACTTCTAGCATGGATATATCCTCATATAAGCTAAAACTTAGACATACTTTAACATACATAATAACACATCAACTAAGCTATTAACATGTATAAAAGGTTGTCTTGTTACCTTCTTCAAAGGAACAAGAAAACACAAGCAAAGAAGGAGGTGACTCTTGTGTGCACGTTCTTGCTCGGCCCTCGTATAGCTGCAGCTTCTTATTTCCTTTGGCTTGAATCCTTGAACTTGATGACACTAATCTCTTCCTTGATGAATGGAGGATGAAAGAGGATGGTTATCTTGTTGGATTTCTCGAATTTGGGTTGCTAGAACACAAGATTACTCGGTACTCACTCTAAGCTTCTCTTGGTGGCACTAGGAATACACTCTCGGCTTAAAAGCATGGGAGGGTGTTATGCTCGAATTTTCCACTGAAAATGGGAATGGGAATTGAGGAATTTCTTATATGATGGAGTACTATATAATTGGTTTAGGAGTTGATTGGTTTTAATGGGGAAAAAGAAAGTGGAGAACATGGGTAATGGGGCTCATTTCAAATGGAATCATCCTTATGGCATGTGAGGGGAAAAGAGACCACTTAAAAAAATCAAGAAAGTGCTCTGGCCATGCACTCTAGAGGTGATAAGGTCTGATTTTTACAATAAGGACAAGAAAACAAAGGTTCATGCATGAAGATATAAAGTTAAAACTCACATGCTAACCTTACTTTGAAATATAAAATGTTAATCTTAATTAACATTTTATTACCTTCAAATTGCACGAAGAATATCCTAATCCTTAGCCTAATCTCATGCATAGGATTATCATTAAAATAAAAGAAAGGTTAAAAGTCTCCATAGTGTGCTCTTGCTCGGGTGGTTCACTCGACTAAGGCGCGAGGGGAGAATTCTCCGATTCGGTTCAAAAGAATAATTTCGAACATAATAACTGAATAACCACACAGACACCAACAAATAATAAGGTATTTAAAAATAAAAAAAAATAAAATGCCATTAACTTAAATATTACTAAAAATAAATAACACCAATATACGAACGGGTCGCTACAGTCTACCCACCTTAAAAGGAATTCCGTCCTCGGAATTCGAAAACAAAACATACTAAAAACTAAAAAAAAAATACAAAAGGACTCAGAATGCGAAGTTTGGATATCGCCTTCTGATCTC